GTTAAGTTAATTAACTCAACCAGTATATCCATAGAATGATTTTGCTCATTTGGAAATTCAAAGTTTAAACCCCTTTCCAAGACGAGCGTAACATTAGTATCTGTAGATATACTGGATAAGTTAATGACTTTATTTTTGCTGGAAAAAATTGTACTAAGTTTAACTACCTCCTTATTGTTTCAACGATTCCTTTGGCTGATGTTGATGCTTAAATTCCTTAATTTCTTATCATGTCGGGATCTATGGATCTTATCCATCCTATCCGTCAAAGCGTCCGCCATTTTCTGCAATTTAATAAAGTCTTCTTGAGAAAATAGCTGAGAAAGGGGTAGTCTAGTCCTTGTTTGGGTTCTAATCAGGTTATGTAATTTATCTATACTTTCTTTGAGTCTAGTCTTAACCAAACCAACTGATACATGCTCCAGTTTTCTATTAGTGGAAATAGACAAATCTGGACGTCTACCAAGAATACAACATTTAGGAACTACATTATGTGAAATACAAATTCTTTAAAATCTCATAGTATTGACTTGCCGGGATATAGATTTCATTATTTTCCTATAGCCAGAAGGAAGTTGATAAGAATTCATTCCATACATACGTAAAATATGCGAAGAAATGTTTGGTTTAGAGGAACCTCTTGTTTCATAATTGTTGAGCTTACTTCCATTTCGAGTGAAAGTGTTGGGTGAAGTACAAAAACGCCTGCAGAGTGCTTGCTGAGCACAGAGCAGAAACTGGACACGAGATTGAATGGTCTAAAACTTGTTGTTTTTCTGATTATGTTATGTTTGCGGCTAAACGTAAAATTAGAGAAACCATAGAAATAAACCGAATATGAAATTCCTTGAATGTAAGGAATACCGGAAAGATGATAATCAAAAACTATTTGTGCTTAATCAATAGACTGAAGGATAGAGAGGGAGTTGAGCAGCATGCAAAAAGGAGGCGACACAAATACTCTTTTCTTGTCTTGGTTATAATGATTGTCACTTCTCTGTACTTTTAGCTCACTTCCTTTCTCTCGCATTGAGATTAAAAACAAAAAGTAAGCTCATCAACAAAACCAGCCGTGTGTCCGACCTTGCGCAATCGGAGTGATGGTTATAACTTAAATATACAAATGGGGAAATAGGAGTCATCAAACCTTGATGGCAAAAAACAGACGGTCCTTTTTGCTGTCCTAAATACCTTGAGCCATCATTGCGGGTTTCGTGCATAAACGAACACAAACAGGCACATACAAATACAGAGACATACACACTCACATGCATCTGACATATGACCTTAACTAACAAAATCACTTTATACTTGATCAAAGAGGCCAGATGTAGAGTATATATACTACCTTTTAGGGATTTGCAGGTGAGTTTTCTTGAGTCGTTAGCCTGAATTTTCTTGTTAGTATATATACCACTTTTTAGGGATTTGCCGGTGAGTTTTCTTGACTCGCAAGCTTCAATTTTGTTGTGACGATGTTACCTCGCTCTGATGATGTCCGTCATATGACGGACGAAAGCTTAGCACCTTTTCACCGGAATCGAAGGAAACTGCCTTGGAAACAGCGTCAGCATGAATCTTCCAGTAAAGCCAATCGACTGTTGGTCAAGAGGAATCTGCCGTCGTCTTCTGGTGGAACCAACCTTCGAATCTCTTCACCCAACACTTTCACTCGAAATGGAAGTGAGCTCAACAATGATGAAACAAGAGATTCCTCTAAACCCAAATTTTCTTCGCATCTATTATTTGCCATGTTGTCACATAGCAGAGTAATT